TGCTTTTATGCCTTGGGATTTTATCTGTGTTACCAGCTCGGGAGATTTTATACTTGTAACGTGATGTTCCATAGAGTTCACATCTTGAAGTTTCATACCCAAGATCTGCTCAGCATATTTCAAATCTTGTAAAGGGGACACTGAGTCCAGCTCTACTGATTTTGTGCCTAAAAACATCTTCCTTGGGGTGAAATCAGGTTTCTTACCTTGTAACTTTGAACTAGGTTTGCTTTCTACCAGTTTCACACCATGAACCCTCTTCTCTGTAAGGACTTCAGATGGCATACCTTGTAATTGTGGTCCAGGAGTAAAGCCCATAGATATGACATCTTGGACCTTTATACCCATGATTGTCCTTGAAGATTTCAGATCTTGTAACTGTGGGCCTGATTCACAGTCTTCCATTTCCATTTCTTGGGACTTTGTCCTCAGACCTGGATTGGATTTTATACCTTGCCACTGTGACCCATGTTTACAGTCTAGCTGGACACTTTGATTGGCAAATGGCTTACCTTGACTTGACGTGATACATTTCATATTTTGGGACTCTGTTTCAGGTGTCAAGTCAGAACATTCTGCACTTTGCCACTGGGGCCCAGAGTTGATCTCAGATTTTATATCCCAAGGCTTTGTCTGAAGTGCTAACTCAGAAGATTTTGCACTTTTTAACTCCATACTGTTTTGTGGTTGTGCCCTTTGGCTTAATACCCCATAGTTCGCTTCTGAGGCCTGTGACTCTTGTTTAAACACTAAAGATGTCACAGATTGAGGTTGTGTTCCTGGGGGTGACCCTAAGGTCACTTCTTGTGGCTGCATTCCAGGAGAGCCTGTGACTTCTAAGGGAAACCTGGGTTCAAATGTGAATTTTATATTGTTAATCTTTGACCTTACGTTTGGGTCACATCCTTTCATACTTCTAAACTGGCGCTCCGATTTAAAATCAATAGTTTTGAACCCACGAGACTGTTGTTCCGGCGTTGACCCTGTAGGTTGTTTACTTTGTAACTTCAGCCCTGTAATCAACTCATTAGAAGTCTTCACATTCTTTAGTTGTGCCAAAGGGTTTAACTCTTTAGCCGTGACATCTTCAGATTGTAACCTAAGATTCAGCATAGATTTCTTAGCTTGATAGCCAGATGCTGGGATCCACTGAACAGATTTTGTATTTTCAAGCTGTAATCCATGGTGTAATGCCACACTTTTTACACACTTAGCCTTTGGCTCTGATCTGTGGTGTAATGCCACACTTTTTACACGCTCAGCCTGTGGCTCTGATCTGTGGTGTAATGCCACACTTTTTACACTCTCAGCCTGTGGCTCTGATCTGTGGTGTAATGCCACACTTTTTACACACTTACCCTTTGGCTCTGATCCGTCGTGAAATGCCACACTTTTTACACACTCAGCCTGTGGCTCTGATCTGTGATGTAATGCCACACTTTTTACACAATCAGACTGTGGCTCTGATCCGTCGTGTAAGGCCACACTTTTTACACACTCAGACTGTGGCTCTGAGTTTTCCCCTTCTTGTAACTCTGGTTTTGGGGATGCCCCAGGGGTTTTTATGTGCTGTACTTTTGGCTCAAGGTTAAAATCTGCAGATTTATTCCCTTGAAGTTTTGGCCTTACAGTTGTTTCAGGTCGCTTCACACCTCCCAGCTGTATGGATGGTTTCTGTTCTGTAGATTTGACACCTTGAGATTGTGACCCACGATTTAACCCTAAACACTTCACGCTGTGGAACTCAGGTCCTGGTATCCACTGAACGGATCTAACACTTACAACTGATGGATCTTGGTTTTGATCCACAGTTTTGATCCCCTGAGGCTGTGGTTCTGAATTGGATGTGACGTTTTCTCCTTTCTGTATCTCTGGTTCTGGGGACAACTCAGGTGTCTTCGTATAGTTTACTTGTGATTCAAGGTTAAAACCCACAGATTTTTCTTCTTGAAGTTTTGGCCTTACAGTCGTCTCTGATGGCTTCACACCTCCCAACTGTATAGACATTTTCTGTTCTGTAGATTTGACACCTTGAGATTGTGACCCATAATTTAACCCTAAACACTTCATGCTGTGGAACTCAGGTCCTGGTATCCACTCAATGGATCTTACCCTTCCAACTGGTGGATCTTTGTTTTGATCCACAGTTTTGATTCCTTGAGGTTGTGGCTCTGATGTTAAGTTCAAAGTTTTTGTTTTCTGAAGCCCTAGTGCTAACGGAGAGGTTTTTACTTGCTGTGACTGTGGCTCAAGATGCAACCCTACAGATTTTTCTTCTTGAACTATTTTAGACCTGACAGTCAATTCAGAGGGCCTCACACCCCTCCATTCTGTAGACGGCTTCAATTCTGTAGGTTTGGCACTTTGAGATTGCAACCTCAAGTCTGACCCTACCCATTTCTCACTTTGAAACTCAGATATTGGTATCCATCGGACGGATTTTGTACTTCCAGTGTGTGGCTCTGTGAGCACCATGGTTTTCACATCTTGAAATGGTGGCTCTAACATTGGCTCTGAGACTTTCACCTGGTGCTCCTGTGGCCCTGGAGTCACCTGGCATGGTTTCATACTTGGCACCTGGGGTTCATCTTGGGCCTCTTCAGGTTTTACACTGTGAACAACTGGTTTAGGAGTCGATTCAAATGATGGTGTATCTTTAAATTGTACTTTAAATTTGATCTCTTTGCGTTTTTTATCTGCAGGTTTGGCTTCTTGACCTGACTTCATGGATAACACATTTTCTGACTCAAAATGCTTGCTCAGCTGGTCTAAAACCCCACCTTTCCACTCGGGTGATCTTACAGTTATCTGGTCATCCTGTCCAGGCTTGAGAGTTAAATCCGTAGGCGCCATCCCTCGACACGGTTGTGTTGAGACTAAATTCACAAGTTTTACTCCTGGGATTCCTTGTGTTTTGGCTATATTCACAGGTTTTAGACTTTGTGGCTTCAAACATGAGATAATCACATGTTTCCTACCCCGCATTTGTGACTGTGCAGTCAGTTCCTTGGGTTTTAGACCTTGTAGTTGAGGCACTTGCAACACCTCCATAAACTCATCTTGAAACTCTTTCCCTGGTACAAAAGTCACAGGACTCTCTTCTTGCTTTGGTTCAAGTTTCAAACCCATGGCATTTAGATCTTGCACATGTGTATCACGGGCCAGCCCCACAGTCTTCAAATCTTGAATTGTTGAACCTGGAATCAACTTCACAGTTTTTGTACCATCTGACTGGGAGCTACATGGGGAGACCACTGTAGATTTTATCCTCTCTAGACATTGTCCTAGAGTTAAGACCGCAGATCTCCTATCCTCTAACTGTGGTCTTGAAGGTAGTAACTCAGATTTTAAACCTTTCAAGTTGGGGCCCAGGGGCAGCTCCTCAGGTTCTTTATCTCCTGCTTGTTTCCCTGGGGTTAACAGTATAGCTTTGACATTTTCCCTCTCTGACTTTGACCTTAACTCCATAGATTTCACATCTCCCAAATGTGGCCCTGGTGTTAACTCTTCCTGCTTTGATGCTGTGACCTTCTCCACACATTTTATATGTCCCAAATGCTGCCCAGGGATCGATTCAGAAGATTCTATACCTTGTGCCTCTGGTCTTCCAACCAACTCAGAATGGTCTACACTTGCTAGCTGTATCCCAGGAGTCAACCTCACTGATTCTGCCATTGGTATCTGTGGCCCAGAAGGTAGTTTATAAGACATCTCATCTTCAAAGCTTGGTGCTTGATTCCTTGTGACATATGCCCTGTCTTCAAACAGCGTCTCCTGTATTATTAACTCTGGCTTCATCCCTTGCCTCTTTGGCTGTGTGGTAAACTCAAACATTTTTACACACTCCAACTGTGGCCCCGAGTGTAACTCTGAAGTCGTCACACCTTGAGATTGAGTTCCTGATGTTCCATCAAAAAAATTGACATTTTGCAGGCACGGCCACGAGTTAAAACTCACCTGCTTTGTATCGTTGAGCTCTGGGGTCATCTTCGCTAGCTTTGGATTATGTATCCCCAACTCTGGAGTCATAAAATGCATACCGTGAAACAACGGTCCTGCAGTTTGCTCCCCAAATTTTACCCCTTGAGGTCTTAGCCTAGAAGCGAACTCAGACACTTTGGTATCTTGTTGCCGCAGTTCCGGGTTTACCTCCTCAGATATCACGCTTGGATATTGTAGTTCAGAGGCTGGTATTGTGTGTTTCCTGCTATGAAACTCTGATACTTCCATAGGTAGAACAAGTTTCCTATCTTCAACCTGTGGCTCTTGGCTTAATGGCAAAAAGGGTTCTGGCAAAAGTCCCTGAGACTTCCTATCTTGAAAGTGAATACCTGGTATGACCTGTGTACATCTGAAACCTTGGTGCTTGGGCTCAGGGGTCAGATCAGAGAATTTCACAGCTTGCGAACATGGTCCTACATTTACTTCCACAGGCTTCACATGTTGCAGTTTTGCTTCTGGAAGATTTGGCCCCGGGATACAATCTGATGATCTGATTTCTGGTACTGGGGAACGTGATCGTGCCTCATCAGATTTCACACCATAACGTGGGGGGCCTGAGATGACATTTCCTCGTTCTCCCCCTTGGTAGAACTTTGGAAATCTGACACTTTGCAGTTGTGGCCCTGGAATCAACCCAGATTTGATACTTAGCTGCTGTGGTCCTAGATTGAAATGCACAGATTTCACTTTCGGGGGCTGTGTCTCCTCAATCAGTTCCTTCGGGGATGGACTTTGTGGCCCTGACTCTGGCTTTGTCTTTTCATGACCTACCTCTCCTAGAGACGACTGTCGTGTTACATTTATAGAGTCTTCATTTTGCAACTGTGATTCTGTATCCATTTGCCTAAGTTTGACTTTGAGCTGGGGCCCTGGGATCACATGTTTAATGTGTGGTTTGGGTCCTGTAGTTAGTGTGATAGTCTCTACAGCTAGTACAGGTGGTTTACCAATTACTTCCCCAGATTGCAAATGTTGAGCCAAGGACTCCGATTTCTCACCTTGCACTCCTGGTTCTAGACCCAACTCCAGAGATTCCATTTCTGAATATGGTTCTATCATGGCCCCCTGAGTATCATCAACTTTAGGTAATGTTAATCTGATAGTCTCTCTGTCTTTGTATTCTGGTCTTAGAGTTATTTCTGAACACGATTCTAGAGTCCCATGTAGAAACTTCCCATCTGAGTAGGGATGTGGTTCTGGGGCCATCACCACTGAGTTCATATTCTGCACTTCTGATTCTGGTAGCAAATCCAGAGCATCTTTAATTGCGTTTTGTGATTCTGGAGTCTCTTCCATCTCTTTTACAACCTGGTTCCTAGTTTCAAGAGTTTCTTGGAGTGGTGGTGAGTACATCTCCATAGAGTCTGAGGTTTGGCGCAGTGGCGTCAGCCTCATTCCTAATGATGATTGTGTCAGCTCAACAGATTCTTCCACCTGATGACAAATGTCAGAGCCCACTCTTTCTTCTGGGGCTTGATGCCGTAGGGCCAATTCTGCAGGTTCCAGGAAATGATAACTTGGGTCGGGGTTCACTTCTAAGGATTTTACCGCACAAAGGTGTGTGCTTGGGACCAATTCACTAAGATTCACACTTTCCACCAGTGCCTCGGGAATTAAACTCCTACCTTCTACCAACAGAGTCTTTCTATCTTCGAGCAATGGTACATGGGCTGTCTTCTCAAAGCTGGTGCTTTGTGAATATGGTTTTCGGGTTAAGTTCACAGATTTCTTATCTTCAAGTGATGGTCTTGGAGCCAACTCCACCATTTTTGTATCTCCTTGTAACTCCTGCGATAGGGCTGAATGAACAACCCTTTGCATGCCTTGAGTCTGTGAACCAGGGGTCAAATGTACTGATTTATCACTTTGCACCTGTGGACCTGGGGCCAGCCCAGCAGACTGTATGTTTTGGAGTTGTGCTTCAACTATCACTTGGCCAGATTTCACATCTTGAAGTTGAGATTCAGGGGCTGATGGCACAGATTCCTCACTTTGCAATTGTGGCCTGTGGGTTAATTTCTCAAACTGCATAATCAGCTGATGCAATTCTAGGGTCAAATCTGTAGATACCGCTCTTGAGGTCGGTGGTCCATATTTTACTTTTTCTGGGACTAAAGCCATGGCTATGTCCACAGATTTCATATTTCGCAATCTTGGATCTGGGATTAGGTGCTCAGATTTTACGTTCTGTAATTCTGGGGATAAATTCGTTGAATCCATAACCTTAGGCTGTGGGATTGAGTTTTCCCCCAAATGTTTCATTTCCTTAAGTAGTGGTGTAACTGGCACCACTTCCACTTCTGTAACGTGATGTTTTTGGCTCCTTCCTATGGGTATTGTACCTTGATCTAGTGGTGCTGTGATTGTTCTCACAGGTTCCACTATTTGATTATGTACCTCTGTCATCTCTACAGAATTCTTCATTTGGGGCTGGGTGTCAGAGGTCCCACCCCTTTCTGGGATTTTGTGACTTTGCCTTGGGCTCACTTCAGAATAGTCTAAGTCTTGGTGCCGTGGGGTAAACTTTGAAGGGTCCATGACCTGCTGAGACAGTCCTGGAGTCGATGACACACCCTCTGCGCCTTGATGTTGTGGAGTCATCCCCACAGAGTCTCCAGCTTGAACCTGGAACCCAGAAGGCAAGTCCAGAGGTTCTTTGACTTGAGCCACTGGCTGTGGAATCAAACCAGGAGGCTCTACAACTTGGAGTGGTGGGATCATTCCCACCCCAGGTGGCGCCTGTACTATCGGGGTCACCTTTAGAGCATGCAGGGATTGACCTGATGGTAGCAGAATCACTCCTGATGACGCTAGGACTGTAGACGGTAGCTGTGGAGGTATGCCTCGAGATTCTGCTGCTCCTCTTGGGACAGTAGAAGTCAGAACGTCTGGCTGGGCTGGCAGTGTGGTCAAATTTTCAGTTTGGATCAAAGCCCTAGGTTCTGTAATGTGTGGCTCTCCTGGTGGAATTTTCTGCATGAAATCCATGGTTTGTTGTGCCACTGGGGTTGCTTTTGTATAATCAATGGCTTTAGGAAGTACACTTGAGCTAATTTCCAATATATTTTCATGTATTGGACCGGGAGCAATCCCAATGTGTTCTGTGGCTTGATTCTGTGGGCCCAAGGTCGTGTTCGGTGTTCCCATGACTTTATGCTGAGGCTGGGGGATCACTTCCACAGTTCCCAGAACTGATTGCTGTAGCCCTAGACTCTTATCTTCTGGTGGTATTTCTTGGTGGCCATGCAGTATATCCACCTTTGCAGATTCCATGACTTGGTATTGTGGCTTTGGGGCTATTTCTGCTGGTTTTATGACATGTGGGTATAATTCATTAATCATCCCCATAGAATCCATGATGCGAAGCAATTCCGCAGGAGTTACCTTCATATTATCTGTGACTGGACTCTGTCTTGAGGCCATACTCTTTGATTCCGTAGCTGAATACTGTTGAATTTTTACTGTTTTTGGTTTAATTACTTGATCTGATGGCTGAGGAGTTAGATTCACTGTTTCTGCTTGATTTGGTGGCTGCGGGGGAAACCCCACGCAGTCTATCACCTGCGCATGTGATTCTGGGATCATTCCCATCAAGCCCATAACCTGAAGCAGTGCCACTGGAGTGACCTTTATGCTGTCCATGGCTGAGCGTGGTACCTGGGCTGTCAGTTCCACGTCAGTTACTTGTGCCCTTTGTGGCTGTATCCTTTGTTCTGGAAGACCGAGGACCCTCTGATCTATATTCAGCTCTAACACATGCCTTGGATCCTTTTTTATTAAAGCGTTTTCTTCCCGAACTATGTTAATGGGAGCTGGAGTGCCCATTGATATAACTACAGGGTTGTAGCTAAGAACCTGGTGGTCATTCGCAGACTGTAACTGCTTGTTTGAGGTCAGCGTCTGTGACACTTCCGTCCTGCTTAATTCAGAATTCACCCCAATGTTTACATGGACATGAAACGATGGAGCATCTGGAGAAATGTTGGTATTTTGCTCAGCCCTCTGAGGGAGGAGTGTAGGTAACTGAGTTTTGGGGAGCCCTTGTTCAGGGACTCCTTGTACATTCATCAATTCGTTACGTATTTCCCAGGATTTCTTCACAGGCAGATGCACCACTTGTGCCCGCAAAGTCGAAACCTTATGTGATATGTGTCTTTCCAGTTCTCCTCTGACTATAGGAGAGAGCTGGAGTGGAGCCCATACTAGGGGGCCTAGGCTCTCATTTAAAAGAGATTTCTTAAGATCTGTCTTCTGTAAAGTAGGCAGGGATGAGCCCCGGCTCCTGGGAGCAGGCGGTTCCTTTCGGGAGAGAGCAGGGAAGCTATGGCTCCGGAATTGCCGCGTTGCTCTTCCAGGAAAGACTGGAAGGGATGTGTTCGAGCTGTCACTATACGATACAGAAGACATGCTGGAGTCAGAAGAACGGTTTCCCGTCGTACCCACAATGTCAGAGCCGGAGGAAGACCAATCTTGGGGCTCTTTTAAGGTTTTCGTAAGTGTTGACCTGACAAAAAGAAATGTTTTCATTTTCTTTGGGATCAGTAGGCATAAAATTAGTAAGAAGAGAGAGAGTGGTTGTTTCAAGTTCAAAACATTTTTGGTCTAAGGGAGAGATGAAAGGACGGGTTGCATTCACAAACATCAGTTATTTATGTAAAGAATCCCTCCACCAAGAGCAAGATGTGTGAGTCAGTGAGGAAAGGACATGCTGTACAAAGAGAGAAGCTGAGTTCCATCCCCAGGACCCACATGAAAAGAAAGGGACACAGTGCCCCAGTGCTGGGGAAGCAGAGAAAAGTGGATACCCTGGGGCTCACTGGACAGCCAAGGCTAATTATCTCAAAAATCCAGCTGCATGGCTCCCCAGAAATGACACCCAAGTTTTGCAAACACATACATGCACACACACACATGCACACACGCACAACCTGTGCTTGCCATTAAGAAAGAAGACCTGTGTTCGATCCCTAAGACCCACATCTTAGAAGGAAAGAACTGACTCCTGTGGCTTCTCCTCTGACCACCATGTACATGATGTGGTACACATGTGCACACATGCACAAAAATAATAAATAAATAAATAAATACCTAAATAAATGTGATGTGTACACACACACACACACTCACACACACACACACTTTGGGGCCTAGAGATATGGCTCAGCAGTTAAGAGTAGTGTCTGCTCTTCCAGAGGACCCAAGTTTGCTTACCAACACCCACATGGTAGTCTACAAACATTTGTAACTCCAGTGCCAGGGGATCCAATGCCCTCTTCTGGCCTCTGTGGGCATCAGTCATGAATGTGGTGCACAAACACACATGCAAGTAAAATACCCATATAAAACATGGAATAAATAAAGCTTAAAAAATTATTCTCCATTGCTCAAACTCACTTTTCTTTTACCTCCCTCCTTTTACTCCCTCTCTCTCTCCCCTACCCAGAAACTCTGTTTCCTGACCTTGCATTTTCCAAATGATGGAAGATCTTTTGAAAACTCCTGTCTATGGATCTGGATATATATTCCTGGCTCCAGCCAGTAGAGTCTCCTGAAATACTGAACACAAAAGGGGATGTCAGTAGAATTGAAGTGATATTAAAGTACCAGTAAGCCAGCCAATAAGAATAGGAAGTTAATTTAGGAAGGAGGCAATTGCTGTCACAGTAAATGAAGTAAAAGTCCCAGGATTTTACATACAGCATCTACGGTTAAGATGGTGTTGCAGCTAGGATTTCCATTGTTGTACTGAAACACGATGACCACAAACTTAGGGGGACAGGGTTTGTTTCAGCTTACATTCTCAGGTTACACTCCATTGCTGACAGAAGTCATGGTAGGACCTCAGGGCAAGATGGACCCAGGAGGCAGCAGCTGATGCAAAGGCCGTGGAGGAACCCTGCTTACTGGATTGCTTTCATGGCTTGCTCACCCTGCCTTCTTGTGCTACTTGAGACCACCAGTCCATGGGTGGCATCACCCACAGTGAGCTGGACCTTCCTATATCAATCATCAATTAAGAAAATGTAGCTGGGCAGTGGTGGCACACACCTGTAATCCCAGCACTTTGGAGGCAGAGGCAGGTAGATCTCTGAGTTCAAGGCCTGTCTGGTCTACAGCGTGAGTTCTAGGATAGCCAGGGCTACACAGAGAAGCCCTGTCTTGAAAAACCAAAAATAAAAAAAAAATTTAAAAAAGCAGCACAGGCTTGTCCACAGGGCAATCTAGAGAGGGCAATCTCTTCCAAAATGATGCCAGTTTGGATCATGTTGACATGAAACCAGCCATCATGGTATTTGTCATAGGACAGTCTGAAGACAGACTCTGCTTACCATGTTAGATCAGCTTCAATGATATTCATCATTCCAGCTTTTTTCAGCTGTGAAACTGTAATAGGAGTAAAGAGACCGTGAGCATAGTGACTACTGACATCATCTAACAATTAGGGGAGCAAAGATGAAGTCACATCGTGAAACTGATGAGTGGTACGGCCCAGCTATCAAGTTTTGTTTTGCAAGCAAACTATACTGTCTTCATCATGTACTAGAAGTGACCCCGGAATGCAGTAGTGAGGGACACAGAGGTTCCCAATACATCTTTTCCTTTAAAGATGTCTACCCCACATCCACATCCGTGGTAGCGAAATAAGGAGATGGACCTCCCTCACCAAACTCTTGGTAGTTAATTTTTGCCCATGCCATGAAAATGTATGGGACAGAGAAGCACGAGGAAAGCAAACAATGTAGGAATTATGGAGCTGTCTGCATGACTTTGGAAGTGAAGATGTCAGAAAGATGGGGGTACTCTCCAGGAACACCCTCTTTTTCCACTTTCTTCCACCCGCTGTTCAAGACTAGAGTTTGAAAGCATGGCCCACGGTTGATCAGTCACCAGCCTTGAGCTGATCAGTAAGGGAGAGAATCATTTTGACCTGTAAGTTGATGTTTCTGGAATTTTTCATGTTTCTTCGAAATCTAGAGAAACACACAAAAAGAAACAAAGTCAGGTTTATGCTCTAGATTGGGGGTTTTATGGACAACACTTCTCACCTTATCTATGGGATAGTGACACATTTTATATCAGGTATCAACACGGTTGTCATCTGTAACCATATTATTAGTTACCATCTCATCGAATTACGTGTGAATAATTTATTAAGTATACTAAGGGACCAGCAAGATTGCCCTGTAGGCACAGGTGTTTGACACCAAGCCTAATGACCTGAGTTCCGTCTCTGGAGCCCACAGAGTAAAAGAAGAAAAGCAATTTCCACAAGTCGTCTTCACCTCCACATGCGTGCCATGGGCGTTTGTACATGGATTACACACATACAAATTAGTCCTAGATTATTGTGTGTATGAGTCCTGTACTCTAGAGACTTGCATTCATAAGGAAAATAGCCAACCAAACAGGTAAGATGCCATGTGGGAGCCAGCAAAACGACTCAGTGACTAAAGATACCTGTGGCCAAGCCTTGGCAACCTATGTTCAATCCCTATGACCAGTATGGTACATGAAAAGACTCTTTCAGGTTGTCCTCTACTTCCACATACCCCTGGCCCCATGTCATACGCACACATGTACACACACACACACAAAATATAATTTTCATTTTGTTTTGTTTTTGTTTTTCGAGACAGGGTTTCTCTGAGAAACCTGGCTGTCCTGGAACTCGCTCTGTCGATCAAGCTGATCTGGAGCTCACAGGGGTCCCACTTCTGCCTCCTGAGTGCTTACAAATGTAATTTTTAAAAAATGGGGTAACTCACTCAGGATAGTGTTTTCTAATTCCAACCATTTGTATGCAAAATTCAAGATGTCGTTATTTTTTACTGCTGAATAGTACTCTAATGTGTAAATGTGCCACATTTTCTTTATCCACTCTTCAGTTGTGGGCCATCTAGGTTGCTTCTAGATTATGGCTATTACAAATAATGCTGCTATGAACATAGTTGAACAAATGCCCTTGTAGTATGATTGAGCATCTTTTTGAGGTAACCCAGACCCAAAAAGATGAATATGGTATGTACTCACTCATAAGCGAATACTAGCTACAAAGGGCATTGAGCCTATAATTCATGATCCTAGAGAAGCTGAGTAATAAAGTGAACTCTAAGAAAAACATATATAGATCCACCTGGAAAGTCGAAATAGACAAGATCGCCTGACAAAATTGGGAGCACGAGGTGGATGGAGAAGGGAGGGGAGAAGGGGAAGGCTAGGGGAGGAGAGGGGTGAGGAGAACTTGAGAGAATGGGATAGTCGAGATGAAGGAAGGACAGAGATGAGAGCAAGGAAAGAGATAGCCTGATTGAGGGAGACATTATGGGGTTAACAAGAAACATGGCTCTAGATACAGGAATTCACAAGGATGACCCCAGCTAAGACCCTAAGCAATAGAGGAGAGAGAGCCCAATCTTAATTTGCCCTGTAGTCAGACTGATGAATATCTTAAATGTCAACATAGAACCTTCATCCAGCAACTGATGGAAACAGAGGCAGAGACCCACATCGGAGCACTGGACTGAGCTCCCAAAGTCCAGTTGAAGAGTGGAAGGAATGAGAATATGAGCAAAGAGGTTAAGATCACGATGGGTTCACCCACTGAAACAGTCTACCTGAGCTAATGGGAGCTCACCAACTTCAGCTAAACTGGGAAGGAACAAGCATAGGATCAAACTAGTCCCTCTGAATGTGGGTGACAGTTGTATGGCTGGGGCAGATTGCGGGACCACTGGCCCTACTGCATGTACTGGCTTTTTGGGACCCTACTCTCTTTGGATGGATACCTTGATCAACCCAGATATAGTAGAGAGGGCCATGGACCTTCCCCAAAGCAATGTGCCTTAACCTCTCTGAGGATGGATGGGGTAAGGTGGGAGATATGTGGATGGAGTAAGAGGAAGGGAGGGAGTGGGAATTTGGATTGGTGTGTGTAATGAAGGGAAATAATTTGTTTTCTTTTTTAAATATATAAATAAAGATGGGGTGGGGTAAATGTCATAGAAATATATCAGCCGAGCTGTGGTGGCACACACCTTTAATTCCAGCACTTAGGAGGCAGAGGCAGGTGGATCTCTGAGTTCAAGGCCAGCCTGGTCTACAGAGTAAGCTCCAGGATAGCCAGGGCTACACAGAGAACACTGTCTCAAAAAAAAAAAAAAAAAAAAGAGAAGAAGAAGAAGAAGAGGAGGAGAGAAAAGAAACAGAAAAGAAAGATATCATTGAACACAGAAGACCACGATTAATTTCTTAAGAAAGAATGGAAGAATTGCCATTTGGGGTAGATATCAAAGAGTCAGTGGCTTTTCAAGAGACTCGGTTTTATGGACATGTTACTAGTATGCAGA